TTTTCAAGCCCCCAGGTCTAGAACTAGAACCGCGGTAAGCTGTGTGGGAGTCCAATGACGTAACTGCTATGCCACCTGCTGGCCCCTCGATATCAGCAATTTCTTTTCTTTTCTTCTTCTATTTATTTATTTATTTATTTATTTAATTTGCCAGAGGGTGTGTGCTCTTGAGAGAGAGAGAGAAAGAAAGCACACCTCATGGAGAATGGTCACACTGCAATCCCTTTTGCTCCATATCTCCCTCCTGATGGGATTTTGGGCATACACACATGGGCACCTGGCATGTGTTTTAAGTCACTGGGCCAGGATTCAATCACATGGTTGGCCATGTGGGATCCAGTTCCTTTAATCCCTAGGCTCCAGAACTGGCCCAGATATTGGCAATTTCATGTGGCTCAACCTAAAACAAGGAGACAGGAACTAAAGAAGAAATATACTATGTTCCCAAATAAAAGATGGAATATTTTACATAACTTATTCCAAGCGCCTAATGAAATGTAATTCTAATAGTATCCAATAGGTGATTATAAAGTTCATTAAGAAAAACAAATGATTGAAAATAATCAACAAGGGACCAGCAGTTAGTGTAATGGCTATGTCATTGAACTCCCATGTAGTCGACTGCGGTTTGAGTCCTGGACCCAGTGCCTTAAACTCATGCCGGGTACATGTGCGTGCATGCCCAAGATCCTGAGAGGAGTACGGAGGAGAAGGGATTGCGGCGTGGCCATCTCCCCTGGGGGCTGATTTCTCACTTTCTCTCTCTGTCTCTCTCTGTCTTTCTGGCGAGCGCATGCACCCTATAGCAAAAACCTCTCCAAAAAAAAAAAAAGGAAAAGAAAAGAATCAAGAAAATGTTAAAGAGTAATGAGGATAAAAGGCATTATATAAAGCTGTAGTCATCAAAATAGCATGGACTAGTACGAGAACAGACTGATAGCTCAATACAGTTGAATACACAGCCCAGAGATAGAGACCCTGGAATCGATATAAACATTTAGTAGGTGGTGAAAGCCACATCACATACTAGTGGAGAAAAGACAGATCGCTCAAAAAACGGTGCTGTTAAGGTAATTTTAAAAAAAAGTTAGATGATTCAGGGCCAGAATGGAGGAGAAGGGATTGCGGCGTGACCATCCCCCCTGGGGGGTGATTTCTCGCTTTCTGTCTCTATGTCTCTCTCTGTCTGTCTGTCGAGCGCACGCGCCCTATAGGAAAAACCTCTCCAAAAAAAGAAAAAAAAAAGTTAGATGATTGCCTTACATCATATACCAGGTAAATTCTAAATATATTCAAGGGTTAAATGTAGAAATTATAACAAAAATGTGTTTCAAAAGCATGTAAGTGGGGGCCAGCAGGTGGCATGATGATTGAGGTGCTGGACTCCCACATGGTCAAACACAGTTTGAATCCCAGACCTGGCAGCTTGCTTTCTCACTTTCCCTCTCTGTCTCTATTACTCTCTCTCTGGTGAGCCCATATGTCCTATAGAAAATTAAAATACTACTACTAATAATAACAAAATAAAAAAAATTTAAGTGAATAATCATTGTATTGTGGGATAAGGTACACCATTTATGCAGAAAAGCAAATCTAGAAACAGAAAAGTAATAGATATAATTGCATAAAGCTTAAGAAATATAAGATAACAACATTTTTTAAGAAAAACAAATGATTGAAAATAATCGAGAAGAGACCAGCAGTTAGCGTAATGGCTTTGTCACTGAACTCCCATGTAGTTGACCGTGGTTTGAGTCCCAGACCCGGTGTTGTTATATATTAACAACATATAAACAGTATTAGAAACCAAATGTCAAACTGAGAAAAATATGTGCAATGTATGAGACAGTGTTAATATCTTCAATATATAAAGACTTCTTACCAACCAACAGAAGAAGCTAAATATCTTACAAAAATAGGCAAAAGACAGACATAGAAAGTTTACGAAGAAATACCAAAGGTTAAGTGATAGGTGAGAATCATGAACTTCACTCATAGCTAATGAAATTCAGATTAAAACAATGGGATACCATTTTTCAACTATTAGGTTCACAATAATTTTAAAAGTGACAATATTAACACTGATGAGAGTATAGAAGATGAACCATATTCACATATTGCTGGCACAAATATAAACTTTATAATCTTTCTCAAGTATAAATTTCATTAAGAGCCTTGGAATTATTTATATTTTATGACTGGTAAATCAATTTAATTTCTAGGAAAATAGTCTAAGGGTATTATTGCAGATGTGAAAGAACACAAGGTGTTTTGTTTTGTTTTGTTTTTTAGAGGTTTTCGCTATAGGGCACGTATGCTCGCCAGAAAGACAGAGAGACAGAGAGATAGAAAGTGAGAAATCACCCCCCCCATGGGGGGGTGGCCAGGTCACAATCCCTTCTCCTCCATTCGCCTCTCAGGATCTTGGGCACGCACGCACATGCGCCCGGTGTGAGTTTAAGCCACTGGGTCCGAGACTCGAACCATGGTTGACTACATGGGAGTTCAGCAACATAGCCATTACGTCAATTGCTGGTCCCAGAACACAAGGTTTTTATTACAATATTATTATACCTAAGAATTAGAAACAAGCTAAATATTCAAAAAATAAGAAATTGTTAAGTATTTCTGAAACATTCATGTGGTGGAATATTATTTAATAATTAAGTATTTAATGGCCTGGAGCAATATTCATTATTTAATAAGTTTAAAAAGCAGAATACTAACTTTTATATACAGTGTGAACACAATTTTGTAAAAAGAAATAAGCTTACATTACACACACACGCACACACATACATACACATAGGAAAACACATAGAAGAAACAGCACAAATCATTATAGTCCATAGGTATTGCACTTATGGGTAATTTAACTTTAAAGATGTGAAGTTATCTATTTTTTTTCATGAATGAGAGAGATAGAAAAAGACAAAAAGACAGTGTCCCCAACAGGGTCTTGATGCCATAATCCACCCTCAGCCTCAGGTAGGCCCTGACAGTGGCCATGCATGTGCCTGGCATACTCAGAGACATGAACTGGAACCATCCCATGTGGTTCAGACTTGCAGAACATCACAATTTATAGGTGCACCAGTGTTTAGTGCCCTCCTTTTGGGTAATTTATAGTTTTCTTTTTTTGTGTGTGCTTTTCTGTATTTCTCAAATGTTTTACAAACTATGCACTTTTTCCCCCCAAAGAATGATTTTATTTATTTATTTACTTATTTTAATTTGACCAGAGATGGACAGGGTGAGAGAGAGAGAGAGAAAGTGAGAAAGCAAGCCGCCAGGTCTGGGACTTGAACCACGGTTGGCCATGTGGGAGTCCAGTGCCCTTAACCACCACGCCACCTGTCAGCCCTGACACAGTTTTTTTTTTTAATTGTAGTTAAACATACATATGTCTTAAGCACAAATGCATTACTTTTAAAATTACTAATAGAAATCATGTTTTTTTTTAATAAATAAGAATATATTGAGTTGACAATAAATTTGAACCTACATAATAAATAAGAATATATTGAGTAGACTATAAATTTGAACCTACACTACAACGTCAACAACATGACAATTATTTATGTGTGGACAAAGACAGGAAAGGAACATGACCCAGCCAGATAAAAAGTTTCACAGATTGGTGTGTATATGTTCGGGCCTTTCAGTGCTGAGTAAGCAATGGCTCAGACCCCCTACTCCAAAGGGGAAGTGGAAAGTGGAAGCAGAGGGACTGGTTAGAGTCATGTGAAAAACAAACTCAGCTGGGACTGATCATTTAAATTTGTATTCAACTGACCCCAAATTAATTCCCATACAACTCTTCTATAATATACTCATTGTATAAATCAGGAAGTGGCCAGGGGGGCAGGCAAGCCATGAAGTGGAATTTGAAGGGCCTGAACAGGGTTAGGGAAAATGCGAAGCCTCAAACACTGCTGCTTGGATTTTGAGCCGTGCTACCGTATGGAGGTGGCCATAACCTCCTTCAACCTTATTTGAAGTAGTTTGATTTGTCTTTTATTAAAATTGTCTTATTCTAGATTAAGCCAATTACTTACTTTGGAACCGCTAGTACTAGGCTTTTGTCTCTGTGCCCTGCAGAGAAAATGTGTTTCCCAGGTAACAATTAGGAAAATGCTTGGCCAATCCTGCTAAGATACGGCCCCATTTTAAATGCAGTTACTTCTGCAAGGGAGTCAGGGACTATGACATCTCTTAGCTATAGTTCCTGGCTTAGTCCTGTCTGGGAGGGCAGCAAGGGGAGAGAGAAGTTGCAGATGATCTTCTATAACCTACCCTATACTGGGCTTGGAAGAGCAAGAACCACAAGTGATGGGAACCAGAAAGAGAGTGGCAGAAAGTAGGCCTCAGCTGGAGGCTTCATAAAAGTCCAAAACAGGCCCAGCTGTTGTGTAGTGTCCAGCAAGGCTGGAAGCCCCATACGGACCAAGAGTTCAGATCCTCAGGTCAGCCTGAAAAAAATGTCAGGCATGCACGCAGATGCCTAAGATCCTGAGGAACTGGATGGCTGGGGAAAGGAGATCATGGCATCACCTGACACTGCTGAGGGTGCTTCTCCTTCTCTCTATCTCTTTCTCACTCTCTCATGCATGCACACACATTCTCACTATCATTAGAAAGAAAAAACAATATAGAGAAAAACAAACCCTAAACAGAGAATAGGGCTGAGGAGGAGCTTGGGCGGGAGCCAATAGCCCTGAGGTTAGCAGTAGAGATGCCATGAAGCAGAAGTTTGCAGAGTATTTGTACAAGCTCCTCAGAAACCTGGCATCACTTGGGGTCAGTGTGCTTTGCTGTTGTGTGAGTTTACTTTGGTGCAAAAAAATTTAATCCACTCATAGGTTTTTCACAATATGCATTTTCCATGAACTTTCTGAAGATTCACCACAGCCCCCCCTGCCCCCCCCCCCACCCCCACCAATGACTACTCACCTGCATCTTTCTCTTTACGGTGTCAAAGGGAAAGGAGAGGGTCTGGGTCACCGCAGCAGCGAGACAGACATTGGCAAAGTTCTGAAGGAGAGAGAACTGATCTCGGGGTCCATTCCAGATTTTCTCCAGGTTCATGTAAACTAGGAGGGAACCAGCAGAAAATGGGAGCGCACCTGCAAAGCAAAGCCAGGAAGACGCTGCTGATGTCTTGGAAAATACTGGCTTTTGAAAACAAATACCTGTGGGGAATCTGGGGAAAGTAAACAGGAGGTGCTCGGACCTGCTGAAATCACTCCTCACTCCCAGTGACAGGGCATCAGGGAACTTTTTCAGGTAGCAATATTGTGCTATATTTTGCTAGACATTGCGCCATAGGTCAAGATGCATCGAGTGGTTTACTAAAGGTTGATTTGTGCACTTTACTGTCCATAGGTTATATTTTAAAAAGAACCATAAACATCGAACTCTCATTAATGATACATGTGTTGCAGGATTTAAAAGTGAGGTGTACTGGTGTTTACAGCTTATACTGAAATCATCAAATTTGGACTGATGAAAGAGTGGAAACATGAGTAGATGGGTAGATATCTGATGGAGCACAATGTTAATTATGGGCCAGTCAGGTGGTGCTGTGGTTGGGACAGTTGGATCCCATATGGCTGGTGACATGGTTCGAGTCCTGGATCTGGCAGCTTGGGAAATATGCCAGAATGTTAAGCACCTATGTGCGGGTGTCCCAGATCCTGAGAGGACAGTGGAAGAGAAGGGATTTCAGTGTGGCCATCTCTCTTGGGGGTGATTTCTCACTTTCTCTGTCTCTCTCCCTAATGAGCACACACACCTTTTAGAAAACACTAAAAATGAAATTTAAAAAAAGTTCATTGTAACATCTAGATGGTGTGTATATGGCCGTTTACAAGTCTTTTACGTTTTCTGGGAGTTTGATATTTTTAAAAAAAGTTGGAAAAAATCCTTCTCATTAAAAGAAAGAGAAAAAGAAAAAGAATGAATCAGAGAAAGAGAAGGAAAGAGGAAGAAAGGAAAAGAGAAAGAAAGAAAAAGGAAGAAAGAGAAAGGAGAAAAGAAAGAAAGAGAGAGAAAGAAAGGAAGAAAGGAAGACAGGAAAAAGGTTAGTGGTTGGCACCTCATCAAGTATGGGAGGCTAGGAGGTGTGGGCTGTAACTGAGAAGGAAACATGCTGTAAAAACTGAGAAGTGAGAGGCTCTCAGCTCTGGGGGAGGTTATCTGACCTCACCTTTGGGAATAGTGTGGTCATATCCGTTCCCACTGTACACTGTATGGCATCCTTGCCTTTCTGTAATAGTAACCAAGATGGTGGGCAGGTAAGGAAGTAGGCAGCACTTTTGCAAACTTCCAGAAAGTTCAGTTTTCAGAGGGACTAAATTTCTCCCTAAAATAAGATTTGAAAGAGGGTATAGGGCTTTCCCCTTAGCCTAGTAGTTAAAGGAAGCCAGATCCCACATGGCTGACAGCAGATTGGATCCTAGCCCCAGCAGCTTGAAAAACATGCTGCATGCATGTGTGTATACACCCCAAATCCCAACGGGCTGGAGAAATGGAGAAGGGATTGTGGCATGACCACACCCTATTGGGGTGTACTTTTTCTCTCTCCCTCTCTCTGGTGAGCACATGCACCCTCTGACAATGAAAAAAAATTAAAAGAGGGTATAACACAAGTACGGTTGCTTATCTTCAGAAAAATGTAATATTTAACAAACATATTTGTGTATTAAAAACGACCTGCTGGGGCTGGCAGGTGGTGTGGTGGTTAAGGGCACTGGAATGCCACTTGACCGACTGTGGTTCGAGTCCTGGCTTGCTTTCTCACTTTCTCTCTCTTTCTCTCTCTGTCCCTCTCTAGTCAAAGAAAGAAAGAAAGAAAGAAAGAAAGAAAGAAAGAAAGAAAGAAAGAAAGAAAGGCAAAAGAAAGAAAGAAAGAAAAATAAAAATGACCAGCCAACCCTCTATTTACCTTATTTAGAAAACACTGGGACTGCAGTTAGCATAATGGCTATGTGGCTGGACTCCCATGTAATCGACTGGGGTTAGAGTCCCAGACCTGGTGGCTTAAACTCATGACGGGTGCATGTGCATGTGTGCCTTCCCAGGATCTCGAGAGGAAAATGGAGGAGAAGGGATTGCGGTGTGGCCATCCTCCCAGGGGGTGATTTCTTGCTTTCTGTCTCTGTCTCTCTCTGTCTTTCTGGTGAGCGCACGCGCCCTATAGCAGAAGCCTCTCCAAAGGGGAAAAAAAAAAAAGAAAACACTGGAACTTTGCTATGTGCTGGGCACTATGGCAGGTGCTGGGGATACAGAGAAGCAGGTTGATTCCTGGAGATGCTCACCATGTAGGGAAGGAGACAGCCAGGATAAACTAGCAAGTGCAACACTCCCAAGATGCGCCATCACAGGGATCGTACAAAATGATTTGGGTACAAAAGGCTCAGAGGGATTAATTTTGCCTGGGGAAACCAGGAAAGACTTGACAGAAGAAAGAACTTTTGAACTGGGTCTTGAGGAATGAGTAGGAGTTCATCATACATCAAGAGAATGGAAGGGCAGTCTAGGCAGAGGGAAGAGCATGCACAAAGGAAGTGGTATTTCCAGGACCACAGTGTTTCTGCATGGGTGGAGCAGGAGTGCAATGGAGGTGTGGCAGGGATGAGGTAAAACAGACTAGCAGGAGCCACGTCTGTAGGGTCTGGAATGTCATGAGGAACCTAGGCTTTCTCCTGTAGCTCTGAAGGAGACATTGAAGGCCCATAAGGAGGACAGTGAAATGAGGGCAGTGAACTGATCAAGTTGCATTGTGAAAGATCACCTGATCCTGGCAGCATTGCACAGGGCAGATCCAAGACTCCGGGGCAGGTAGGAGCCCAAGTCTGCAGGAGAGTCTGAATCAGAGGAGTCTGCGGTGAAAATGATGAGGGCATAAGTTCAGGCAGAGGAGATGAGGATGGAGAAGTGGTGGTATAGGTTCAAGGACTAAGAGGTCAAATTGGGCCCAGCCTCTGTGGCCCAGGTGGCAGCATACCAGCTTATGGAGCTAGGAGCCACACGCCAACCGCAGTTCAAGCCCCTGGCTTAAACATACAAGCTAGAGAACTGGAGGAAGGGGATCGTGGCATGACTGAGCCCTGTGGAGGGTATTTCTCTCTCTCTCTCTCTTCCTCTGCCCCTCTCTCATGTGCTCTTTATTATGAATGGAAGAGAACAATGAAAAAAAGTCAGGACTTGGTGACTGAAGTAGGAATGGAGTGTGAAAAGGAGTTGAATTGATCCCTAGGTTTCCTCTGGGTTAGGCCTGGGTGAAAGGAGAGTGAATGGTCTCAGGTTTGAGATGAATGAGTACATCAGGGTTAGCCTAGAGTTTGAGGTGCTTAGGGAACATTGAGGTGAAGGTT